AGAGCATAAACTGTTTTGTCATTGTGTACAACCAAGTGAAGAAATAGGAATAAATTAAATATTCTTTAAGACATATTATAGTGTATTTCTACTGTAGCTCCAAAGAAAACCTAGAATAAATCAAAACCCTGGAAAAAAACCTCTGCTATTAATTTACTAATTTAGTTCCTCATCTTAGACTGTGGTTTGATCCAGTCCCAGTTGGGCTTTTTTTCTGATGTCTCTTCCTGAATTCATCTAGATCACTAGAAATGAATCAATGGGAATTGATCCAATTTGTAGAACACAATTCTAATATTGATAGTAGTTTATATTCATTTGCTTCATTCTAATCTTTTATTAATGCTCATTTGCAAAATGCTGTTCATGCTGTTTCCTTCCAGTTCTGTACCCCCAATCTGCTGATGATAATGAAATTTAGAGAAGCATAACAAGAAATAATGAAGTCATAAATTCTGGACTTAAATATGGTAACAGTTACTATTTTTTGTAGTCAGATGTTTTTCAGTAGGTGACTTTAATTTCAGATAAGCAAAGACCAGTGTAGAAAGTCAGACACATGAAATTCTTACAGAAGTAAGAAGTTGCATCCGTTTACATCTTTTCAATTTTTCTTTATGTCCACCAGGAGGCTGGGCCAGGGCATCAATACTGAATCATCTGGGGATTTTTAAGGATGCATCATCAATAAAATGTGTCATCCAGATATATCTCCTGGTTCAAAAGAAGCAATAACTGACGGCATCACTTTCTCTTACCAGTGTGGAAAAAAAATCACTGGTGACTTTTCTGTGAAGAGCACAGCCATGGTTAAAAACATGTTTAATATACTTTTTGAAGTTAGGATTGTAACATGCACTTGAATATAAATAGCTGTGAAAAAAAGTGTGTCTGTCTAGTTAGAGGTGTTCTAGGAGCCAAAAGAATAAATAGCAATAGTAAATATTTACTATTTGGATTTTCTAAAATTTTGAAGAGCTAAAGATAGGTATATTAAAGCATGAATGGTGTGGCCATCCAATAAAATGGAATAACTTAGAGATTTCAGTAGAAATTTAATTGGAAAAGGTTCCTCACTATCATGTAAATCTGTGCTCTCCAACTGCTATCAGCACCTAAAATTTTTCTGAACTTGTATGATTATGCAAAATCCTCTTTATGCTTGGAAGGGGTCAGGTGTGCTTGGGCTGACTAAGCCTGAAAGCATTCCACCAAAAAGCTGGAGCTGTCATTGATGGTAAATTTAACATTCTCCTCTCAAGTCCAAGTAAGTATTTGTTGGTTTTTTGGTTGGTTTTTTTTTTTTTTTTTAATGTCTTGCCCAACTTAATGAATGGTGGCTCTGAAAATTTCCATGGAAACAGGGAATGAGGTTTTTTCACCATGATGAGGGTGTTGTCCCTCTCAAATGAAAAGCATCTCCAATGCTCCTGTAAAAGCAAAGGGTAGTAGCAATTGCTAAGGGGTTCTCGATCCTTATTTGTTGTTACTCAGGGCTTCACTTTTTAACTTCCTCTTCCCAAATAAACTCATTTGGGGCTACATTAAAAAGGAAAAAAAAAAAAAAGAAAATTAGAGGAACTAATTTTGACTTGTTCCTGAAGTTTTGCATACTTATAGATAAAAGTATTTTTTATTTTGAATATTTTTTGGGGGGGGAGGGTTGAACAGTGTTGGTTTATTTGGCTTTTTTGTTGGTTTTGTTGTTTGAATTTGTTTTTTTTCTTTTATGTTATGAATCAACCAATTACAGCCTAGGCATCTTTTTAAAGCTTAAGGTTTATTTCAGTGAAAATGGGCTCTTTTTTTTGGGCAGTTAAGAAAAAATAGAAACCTTGGTTTAAATACTTCTAGTCTGATGTAGAAATTCAACCCAAATGTCCAACCACATTGAGAGATTTTTTTTTTTTTAAAGGAACATCTCACTCTGTCACTTCTCTTAAACCTCTTAAGGACTGGTTATGGCATTTCTTTGAGGGATCAGGCACCAGATTCAGCCTCTGCTTTTTCTCAGAAAAAAATGTAAATTCTTCATATGTCAGGTGAATTGTTCTTGGGTTTATAGTTCATTTGCTTCATATTTTCTGGCATTGTAACAAGTTCAAAAAGTATAATGATGTAAAAATGTTTATTATGTTTAGGAGAGCCAAGTTGAAAATTGCCTGATCCTACAGCATGGCAGTCATAAGAAATACATCATGTCTTAACATTTAGGGTTTTTACTAGCCATTCAACAGAGTGCCTTCACAGCAGTCCTACAGTGAAATGTGTTATTTAAGTCAACACTACTTACCTCTGTTAAGTTATTACAGAGACTCCAAGCAAAGCTGGAACTTCTGACGGAGCTGAAATTAAATTCAGCCCAGCACAGAGGGCAACAGCCAAAAATGTAGCACTTATTGTTCAATGAAATGGGTAGAATTCATCATTAGTAAGTCATCTCCAGCCAGAGACCATAATTTAACATTAGTTGAATATAATTTTCAATATCAGGTGGAAAAGTAGCATTTATCAAAGAATCAGAGAGTGAACAAGGTCTGTATAGTTTTGGATTGTAAATAACAAGTGCATTGTTATTAACAGATATCATGTAAGTATCGGTGGTTTCAAAAAGACTAATTCCCTCCCTCATTTACTTTTACTGGGTGATTGGAGCCAAGACTTGCAAGCCTAAATAGCTCCCAGTAGCTGTATCCTGGTTTTTACAGCTGCTGCTCTCCTAGCCTGTTGGCTTTACTGAAGTCACAGCAGTTCTCTATTGGAGACTGATCCTGTTAAAACTCCTAAGGGGAGTTTTGAGTTTTGTTAGGGGCATTTGCATTGGTTGGTTGTGAGGTGCTGTGAGGAGGATGCCCACTGTTTGGAATTCCATCTCTGAGGGGCTATCTTGGGTAAAAAGTCCAATTCCTTGTGCAATTATATTTTGTACATGAGACCAAACATTCCAGTGATGCACAGGACGTTTCCAGTAGCTTTCAGTGCATCTTCTTCCCCCTCAGTCATTTTGAGCAGTGTGTGGTTAAATCTCCCAGAATGCAATCAGTCTCTCAGAATGATGAGCAGCAGGTTCATTGCTCAAATTTAGTCTGGGCTCCCTGTACTCAATTACAAACCTTTGCACCAAAAAAGGTAGGCACAGCCTCTGCCACTTAAATTAATAAGAAGACCCATCCTTCTGTCCTTTACTGCAGTAATTTAAAACTTTGACCCAATCAACCCCTGAATGCAAATGAGTGAGCAATCTGGAGAAAGAGAGTGTTGATCCAGTCAATCTGCAGCCATTTTCAGAGCAGATTTTAAAGATGTACGTGACATTGGCCATTAGTGAGCCAGCAAAGATGAATGGGCCAATAAACGAACATATTTCACTTCTTTCATCTGCCAAGATGAAACATCATCTTGGTGTTCGGCTGCTTTTTTGTTGTTTGGTCTTTTATTTTCTTAATTTGCACGACTGTATTTTGGAAGGCATGCTATCAATCCTTTAATTGACTTTTCTAAAGAAATATTTTTTTCCAATAAGTCCCCGTGAGTGGGTTGGTCTTGAGGATTTTGGCTTTCTTAATATTTTTCCTTTCTAACTCATTAAAAATATTCTGATTTTTAAAGATATTGTCTCTAAGATTGTTTAGAAAACAAATGGAGAAATGAATGTTTGACATTGCATTTTAAAAATGAGAATGACTGAGCTAGTAAAATCCAGCATGCAGAAAAAATGTCCACTTTTTTCCTTTTTTCTAGGTTTGTTTCATATACAGTTGCTTTAGGTGTTTTGTCAAAGTTCAGAGTAATTTTTAGCAGTGTGGATTTTGTTGAAAATGAGCAGTTATTTTCAGTCATTGCAGAAGTCCAGAATATGTCTGAGAGAGCAAAACATGTCTTTGCAATAATTAATAAATTATCTGACACCTGTCAACAGAGAAAAAAGGAGAAAAGCAGCCTATTGTTGTGGCAGTGTTATTTTTACAAAGACATTTACTTCTTGAAGTTTTCTTCTAAACAAAATACTAATGTTTCTTTTTAGGTATTATCTGCTGGACAGTGCAGTATCAAAAGTAAAATAGGAGTTAAGTTTATTGAGCAATTTTACATTGAGAGTAAAAGGGGCAGTGATCTTGTTGACAAATTCCCTTGAGTTGTGCTGTTTTGTTTTCAGAGCAACTGGGATTTAATTCTTTTTTTGTTGTTGTTGTTTGTTTCAAATTATTTAGTTCATCGTTAAGAGTTATATTCATGGTGTTTTCTTTGTGGCGTTTTGATCTGCAATTTATTGCAATTGTTGGCGTTTTGATCTACAATTTATCCCTTAAAACATGTATTCATTTATGAAGGTCTTAAACATCTGTTCATTTATGTGTTCAGCTGACCAGCTGCCTTCCCTTTTTTCCCTTTTCCCAATGTGACATGAAAAGGGAGAGATTCCTTGCGAGGATCTTGTGGCGCAAAGCGCATCTTGGTGATGCTGAGCCTCTCCTTTGGGTGGGGGGCTGAGCCCCCATCCCCTGCCCCATCTCGCAGCCCCTCGGTGCTCGCCCAGCCCCAGCCGCCCCCCTGCCTCCTCCCCTCGATAGAGGTGAAGTCCCCTGGGTCTGTAATTGCCAGGAGATGAAGCGATGATGGGGAGTGATCACAGTCAATAGCTTTGATTAACAATAAGGTGGGAAATTAGCGATGCTAGCATTCAGCTCCCCTGCCCTGCCGTCCCCATATGCTCCTCTCACAGCCTGTGCTGGCTGCTTAGCAGGGTGGCCACCGTGCCTGGAGAGCTGCAGAGCGACACTGGCACAGGGGACAAGAGGGGACAGCTTTTTGGGGAGCCTGGACCATGCTCTCACAGGCTCATCCACACAAGAAGGGGAAGGACGAGGTGTGCCGTGCGCTGGCACTGTGGCTCTTGCTGTCATGTGTGGATTTAATTGTGTCTGGACGTGTTGTGATCAAAATGGCAACTCCTGTTACTCCTGTGACCCCATCAGCAGCTCTGGTGTTGTTTCCGACAGACTCCGAGGACGCAGAGAGGGGGAACGACAGCGGGACACCACTCCCCACCTCTGATCACGGCGACAATTCGCTGGGCTACACAGGTAGAGTGCACCTTTCCAAAATATTCCTGGCTGCCTCCTCCTGACACTTCCCACCCCATCTGCCATTGCCACCTGTACGCGTTCCTTTAATCATCCCTGCTAGCTGGCTCTCTTTCTCCATCACCCTTAGAAGTTCAACGTTGTTAGCGCTGGTGGGAAATATTGTTGTGCCTTTTAACTAACCAAGAGTGTCCTTGTGTGTGTGTGTTAGTACATGTCAATGATTTAAATGTTTAAGTTTGCTTTGTTGAGACAATGCACCCATTATTTTCCTTTGAACTGTATATATTAGTGCATGAGGCAATGTATCATCTCAAAGAAAATTTTCCAAAGACCAAGGGGATTTTTCCATATGTTTATTTGGGGATTTTTTTTGCTTTGTTTCTTTTATAAACAAAAGTAAAATACGTTGCAGCAGGGAAGAAAACCTAAATGAGACTAAATGTGATTGGAGAAGAGTGTGTTTCATTGACTTCTGCTTTGCATAAACTACAGAAATGTGTCTCTAGGCCAAATAAGAAAAGCCACAGAATAAGTAGCACCATACAGCAGTGATCTCTGAGGAACCCAATCCTGTAACTCCTCTGCAGCCTGAAATGTTTCCCAGCTCCAGGAGTCACTGACCACAGCCCATGTCAGCTGCAGCCACGAGTTTTCATGAGGTACTGGTGGTCCAGTGTGACTCAGATATTCCTAACTGAGACAGTCTTGCAGGGTACAAGTGGAGGATAGGCAGGTATATAAGAGAGAGAGCAATTTCTTGTCTATTCATAAAACTTCAGGCCCTGTTACATGCCACTTACAGTGATTGCAGCTTTCATCACCTGCCCCTCACAATCATCTCTGCATGTGGTTTAAAACCTTGACACATAATTTTATTTCAGTTTGAAATATTTTTTTTCTAAAACGGTAAAAAAAAAAAAAAGTAAAGCAATACAAATTTTGCCTCAGTCATGATAGATGCCTTTTTAGGAAAACATCACATGAATCCTGCTGCACATGGATTATTTAGACTTTTCTACATTCTGAATATTCCTATTAATTTTGTTCTAAATTCTTCCCCTTGCATGTTCCAAGTTTGTCACGTGTTCATTTCTGATGCATATGGGACCATCATATTGACAAAATGCAGCTTTAAAAATGAATTTTTTCCTTACTGTAAGTTAGACTTTTGATTTTGAAAACAGGGATGGGAATCATGATCCCTGGTTCCTATGTTTAAACAGCCACTAATTTACTTGGAACAGAGAGTCAGACTCTTTTAATAATAAACTGGTTTAGTTTTACCTGGAGATCAGCAGTCAGCTCCCCTCCATCCTCCCCACACATCCCAGGTCTGGGGCTGGTGCTCTGCAGGCAGATTCCTGCACCTGCCAGCCCCACACCTGCCCCATATGCACCCCAAAAGCCCCCTTAGGCACCAGAGCAACAGGGGTGAGGATTTAGAAGGAGATTCCATGATTTTTTCCATCGGATAGGGTCTGGAGGCTTTAAGCAGGTGCTCCCATGACAAGTGCACTGGGAGATGATGGCAGGCAGAGGGTGCAAGGGCTGCAGGCACTCCTGCTCCAGCATTAAAGGCAAATCAGGCAGTGTTCAAGACAATTCCTCCACTCTGAGCCTGGGGGTTTGGGACAGTGTCCCAAACAGAGCACAGACCCCTCTGCATGTGGCACCCCCAAGGATCCTTGCCCTGTTCCGAGGTGCGCATGAGCAGCTCGGCACTGCATCCCAGCATCCCAGGAAAGGCTCTGCAGGGCATTGCAGCTGTTTAACCTGCCTCTGAGGGAATAATGGGGTCACTTGAGAGCACTGACAAAGTCAATCCAGCTCCAGTAACTCCCCAGAGGCTCCACTTCTCAACTGCAGGCCATATTTTAATAGGTGTTTTGCAAGTGGGCAAAAAAGTCAGGATCGGGTTAGAGGCAAACACAAGCTGAACAAAAATTAGCACCTAGAAGATGACTGGTCTTGTTTAATTGGATATTTTGTGCCTCTATTTGAATGAGGACCAAGCAAAGGAAAGACCAAGTTTTATACATTTAATGATCGAGTATTTTTTCTCCTCTGTGTAATAGTAATCAGTAGCACTGTGTGCATACCTTGGTTTATATGGAAAAGCCCTGAGGTATTTATTAAAATTAGTCCAACAGGTTTCTCTGGTAATCAGTAAGAGTTTGAAAAATAATACTCATTGGAATGCAACCTTATAGGTAAAGTTGCCTTTTTTTTTCCCCTTCTAATTGTGGGCTCATTCATATGGGCCTAATATGGAATTCATGGATTTTAAAGAAGTATTCTTAGGCAATTTTTGTTCTCTCTTACCTTTAGAATTCTATTCTTCAAAACAAAAAACATTCCAAAAGCTAATTTGTACTGAAAATTCTGACTCCTTCCTAAATATGACAACCCAAAATATTTCAGATAAATTTGAAGTTGTTAATACGTTTCAAGATTATTACAACAAAGAAATTATGAACTTCTGTTTGCTTTCTCATGGTTCCTAGTATGTTATAGGACTGAACTCAAGATTTTTTTAAATCATTATGGTAAAGTGACATCCTCTAGATATCACACTTTTTATAGATCATCAGGTTTTATAATCAAATCAATTATTAATAGTTATTAACTGTAGACAACTGGAGAAGCTTTATATGCATCTATATTAAAGATAATCACTTTCAGAAAGCATTTCTATTGTGCATAGGTAGGGGCTAAATAAACCACACAATCAAGAGAAGTTCAGACACTGAGGATTGTTCCATATGCATGACAATGGTATTAGATTGAAGGAGTTCATTAGAAGGGGGGGGTTTAATGCATATTTAATACCAAAGAAATACCAAAGAATTGAAAAAAATCCTGCAAGCTGATGTGACCCCACAGGCAGCATAGATGCTAGATGTAGTTGGATTGATTCAGCAAAGAATTCAGGGTTAAAAAAGTTAAGAACTTTTAACTGTAACTCTGTCACAGTAAAGAAATGAGGCTGGAAGATTGCCTTGTCTGCATCTTCACACAAGATCAGTTCTACAGTGACAAGGGCAGATAGGAAAATAATTGCATTGTTATGATGTGTAACAGCACAAATCTAAATAGCTATTCAAATAATATGCATAAAGAACAGGCCAAATCACAGTGAGATTCAATGGGATAAAAGAATATGAGTTAGATGATTTGTGTTGTATTTAATTTGTCCTAAGGAAGACACCCAAAGTAGGTTTCTGAAATGCTGCATGAGCACGTTTGTTTCTCTTTCTACAGACTTTAAGAAAAATGATTGCACGAAATTTCACATCCCCATCAGCTTGGGTCTAAGGAGAACCAGGGGATAGGAGTGAGAGAATAGAATGAAATTTAATTTGATCACTAAAGGAAGACAGGGGAATGGAAGATGCAAGTAGGAATTCTGTTCTTTTTCAGATTTAGGCTGTGGAGATATCAAACCAAGCTATTGTTTAGGCAGTTGTTTTAGAGGGGAAAGAAATCCTAAAGCTACCCATCATTGATCTTTTTTTTTTTTTTTAATTTTAATAATTCCTGGAGTAAATAATGGGGACAAACAGAAGAGGAAAGGAAGCAAGGAAAGCAAGGAAAAAGATAGCAGAGTTACCACTGTATATCAGAGGAAGAATATGGAAAATCACCTGAATAAGATACTGGAGGAACCCAGGGGATGGAGAATTTAGAAAAAAACGGTCATAGGAGGAAATGCCTTTAAAAACATCAGGGTTTCCAAGAGAAGGGCTTGTATTTAGTCACTAAATGGAGCAGATGATGTGTTGAGTGATGTCCCATAGTACTGGAGAAGCTCTGAGAGCCACAACTCTGCAGCAGGGAATAAGGGAACCTGAAGACCATAGGATAAAACCATCTTGACTAAAGCTACTAAACAGATGTCTCTGTTTAATATTTACTGTTGGAACAGATTTTCAAGAAAAGGCTGAAGTAATTAATATTTCCACATCAGATACCACATGTGGCGTGCCAGCCTGAATAGTAAAGAAAATGTTTCCTCTTGGCTCACAGGCTTCTTTTTTCCTCCCCCAAAGCAGTGCAAAGGCAGTAGGTGTCAAGTATGAAGCTCAGTTATTTTCCACATAATCAGTGGCTGCAGAGCAATCTCTGAGATGCATTGTGCTGTGCTATTGAAGTGTGTGCATGCAGGATATCCCAGGAAGTAGCACATTTCCTGTTAAATCAACTGTGACATAAATATTGGGGATCATTTACCAGATCACAGAGTATCACTTGTGTTGCAGACACCAGGAGGATGGCTTGTTAAATTAACACTACACAGCCAAACATTTGCAGGCAAGGATCACCACTCCTCATTAAGTAGAGTCATAACTTTTTGAAGGGATATTTCCATATACTTTTTTATTCTCGGTTTTCTCAGATAACTCTTCCAATATGCAGAGAAATCCTGTGGTTCCCAGCTGAGACCTGAAATTTGTCTTCAGGTTTTTCCCCCCTGATTTTAATCCTGAAAATATTGTGGTGGTATTATTTTGTATAACAAAAGACTCCTCTTTTCTCACATTGCCTTTCTTCTTTAATACTACATTGTTATGTCATCAAGAGAATTGTTCTTAATGGATCACTGCTTGTCCCATGTGAAATAGGACAGGCTGGCCTTGGAAAGCATTTTAAAGGGAAATCTATCTTCATTTCATGGCCATGTCTGAGACATTTCTTCCTCTAGTCCAGTTATTTTGCATAGGTATTACAGGGTACTTGTTTTGAAAAGTGGTAGTTCAGAAAACATGTTAAAAATATTTCTTAGACATCAAAGGTGGGAATCTACACTAATACCTTGTGAGAAATGGGAGTATGTTTCACTTTTTTTAAAGATTAGTAGATGTAGTAAATGTAGTAAATACAGGTTTTGTGGCTGAGAGAAATAGGGGAGAAGAGAAAAAGCTGTGATATGCAACAGGATGAGAAATAAAAATTTTGGAAATAAATATTTACTCTTAGATATTCCTTCTAAATTAACA